CACACCCACACCCTCAAGATAATCGTCTTAGTTATCTTTTAGACAAAATGTTAAATATATCTCGTATGAGCAAAAAAATGTTAATTTAAATGAATTTATTATTTATTGAGATCTTAAATAATTGGCAACAACTTCTCCAATTTTCGCATAACCTTTAGCATTTGGATGAGCTGCATTTTTTGGATGAAAATAATCATCAGCATATGGATCAGTAGAAAGTACTTCATGACCGGCAAATGCTGTTTTAACATCAGCAATAAATCCAATGTGAACTTCATCAGCAGCTTCTTTAATTATATTTGTAAAATGATCAATTAAACGATGACAATCATGTTCATTTGGAATTTTATTTCCAACACTGATAAAATCAACATAAGGTAATACATAAATTCTTGTTGATGATGGAACAGATGATTGAATTAATTTATATGTAGAAATTAATCGTGGTTTCATATCAGTTACTTTTTGTGCAACAGCTGTATAATTATTATGTAAGATTATTGATACTAATGAATTAGCAACACCCAGATCATTTCCACCAATAGTAAAAACAACATGAGTAGCACCTGGTAATATTGATGCAGCAGAACTTAATTGACCTGAAATAGCTGTTGTTCGAACTCCATCTTTAGCAAAATTTTTTGATGACCACCCTAAAAGATTAGCTGCAATCATTGTATACGATTTCGAATAACCACCGACTGCACCCGATGCAGACATAGAATCACCAAAACCAACGATTAAGTTACCACTACCTAAAAGATAATTAAGACATTATTCGTACATCTACAAAGAATGATCTATTAATTATCTTTTTGATGTTACACTTACCTTGTTGATAAGAACTAACAATTAAATTGAAACAAACAATAATAGAGAAGATAGACAACATTATAATGCCAAATGAATGAAGTTAATGAAGATGGAGGAGAAGTCAATGAAAATACATTATTCTACGGTATGTTTTTATATAGAAACAGAAAAACGATTTTTCGAATACTGTGAAAGAGAAAACACCTGGAAGGATAGATTAATTCGCCTTCGTTGTATAAAACACGCGTTTATAAATTATGTGGGCGAAGTAACTATTGGAAGACTTGATGAGAACAGCGACAGAATGTCATGCCTAATCAGTATTTTTATCTTTGATAAGTACACCTTCAGTTTTATTAGTACATTTTGGCAATTATTTTGGTTTTCATTTGAAGTCATTGAAATCGGTGTATGATACGTACTCTCATCAACATCCTTAAACTGATTTCATATTAACCGAAATAATTTAGATCAGAAAAAATCTATAGATTGATAGAAAATATTTCATTTTGTTTATATTTAGATAATTCATGTGATAGCAAAAAAAGAAGATGAAAACAATGAAAAATATAATAATCATACCCATATCCTCAAGATGATTGATGATCCATTCAATGTCATGCATTAGAGAGGAAGATTTGTTGCTCAACCATATCTGTAATGGATTTAAATGTCAACAATCAACACATTCATACAATAATGAACACAAATATTATAATAATATCATTTCTATTACAGCAGACATATTTTTTGAACAATCAATTCTATCTGATGTCAATTTTAGCAATATTACATTACTTTTTATAAAATTTCCCCTAAATAATCCGTTATGAACTAATGTTTTCAGTTTAAATCGGCTTCACGCACTTAGGATAACATCATTCATTAATACTTATCAATCTTAATTGCAGCTATTACTAGATCAAGCACATTTTCTTATCAAATTGCATATTAAACAAGACGAAGCTTGACTCATACAAATATCATTATTCAAATTTCGAAGTGTACCAGTTCGTGAACTTTTATCTTCATTTTAATGAAGAAGTATCTTTGTTATTGTCTCATGCTCTGTTTTGTGTTCATTGTTAAATACTTTGAATTAACGTTAAAATTCGACAAAATATTCTTTGTCTTCTGAAAAATCCTCGAATATTAAGAGTGAGATTTGACAATGACGTCAGTTATAAATACATTTTATCAAGAAGAAACAATCGCTGAAGGTATAATGTAGATCTTATGAGTAGATACACCCCCACTCTCAACATATCATTAGCTATTCATTTTATGGAATTATATTAGATTTATGAATGCTAGAGAAGAACATGAATTGAATCGTAAATTTCAAAATTATTTTAATGTTTATAAAAAAAAACAATGTTGATCTTTTTAATTAAGATTACTGATGTGTTACTATCAATGTATAATAAAATATTACTTTAAAAATTTATTACAGATGAGTACACACAGTCAGAGATTTAGAAAAAGAAAATGTATAATCAATATTCTTGTGTTAGCTCGTACAGTTTATCTTTGTACTCTTCATTGCCATGATTATCTTTTTTCCACGTTTCAATTGTTGCTAGAGTAATACGATTCGTTTTATTATTGGCTACGTTTTCATTTGATTGATTGTTGAGGGTGGGTGTGGATGTGCGCGTAATGTGTCTATGGTATCTACATCCACACAAACCCACACCAACACCCACCCACACCCTCAACATGTTCAAGAACAATTCCGTGAACATAAACAATTGATCATTAGTCCGATAGTTTTACTCATTTTATCAATACCTCGTCTCATCATTTCATTACTTCCTGGGTGTGCAAAAACATCTGATAACTTGTGGTTGTATCTTGGAGCATATCTCATTTCGTTTACTCCTTCAATGCTGATCTTTTTTATCTTTGTTTTTCCTTCAGAATTGTATATGAAAGCGTTTAAACAAACGTTCAATCGTATTCGAAGGCCTTCTTCTCCCTAATCAGTCCGTTCAGTTTCAATGACATGACTATTAGAATAAATGCAAAAGACATTATTTATTTATTTGCTTGCTTCTCGTGATGAATTATTCAATGTACTGTTGCTTTTGATAATCATACTTGAAAAAATATATTTAACATTTACTTGTAGCTCGCTGTAGTTGATCATCAATTGAATTAGCAATATCTTGAATGATTGTGGGTGGTGCAAACACAGAAAACGATTGTTATTCGGTTTTACTACAGAATGCAATAGTTGATGTGTCTGTTAGACTAAGTGATAAAGAAGCTATGTCAACTTTACTCAAACTATATTCTTTGCAACATCACTCACATTTCTTCTTGCCTGTTTGCTTGTTGTGCGCTTTTCATATTGTTTTATTTTCTGTAGTAAAATCGAGCAGAAGTGCTGAAATATACTAAAAAAAAAGAATTGGGTATATGTTTTATGAAACTTCAAATGAGTCTCTCGAAATAGTACTAAAGAAATGTTTTGACTTTTTGAAAAATTTCCTCCGATGACATAATATATCTTGAGTGTGTGAGTGTGAATGTTTTAGTTATTCCCTCATACAGCGCTGTTTCCTTCATACGTTGTGCTTTTTTCTGATTGACTTCAGTTGACAAACGTTTCGAATCATTGATTTTAAGCCGAGGATTTAAACGCTGTATAATTCTTTTTTTTTCAGAAAAGAGAATATAATAAAAAGATTATAATGACTTAATTAAGTTAAAACTGAACTGGAACGTTAAATTTTGCTTTAGTTATCTACACATTCGCCCATTGTTCTTATTTTTTGAATGAATATATCAGTGTTGATGAACCAGTAGATAGAAGAGTTCTGACGAATAAAATTCTATGATATTCAATGTTTTTTTATATTTTTAAAAGAGATTCTGTGAAACATTTTGATGCATCTAACAATTAATATTTAAATGTAGCATATAAATCGATGTGTCACTAAACCAAGTATTGTTTCTCCGTATTTACATGTGTGAAAATGTCATATTGTCTCAAACTCTTTATCTTACATAGAGTCTACCTACAACTAATTGTTTTCGTTTATTTCGAATTGAAATTATGTAATTTTTTGTCCGAACATAATTACTTTGTTGACTTTTTCTTATATGATATACGAAGTCATAGATAACCTAAAGAATAGAATAATAGAAAAAATTAATCACACCCCGCTCCCTTCTGGCGTCGCCACTACATATACTCATCAACATAGTTTCAGTATTATATAATGATTCACAAGTAATCATTTATGAGTATAGTTAACTCTAGTAAAATTATTCGATTTTATTACAAATAAAAAAAAGAAATAAAATGATTTGATCGTAAGCGAGGTATTGCGGCATTTTTTATGGCTCTTATTATGTATGAAAGAACGAGTTGTTGTGTAAGAATATTTTTCTTCCTGTATAGTGAAGCAAATTCTAAATAACTGCCATATAAACAAAAAGAAACATTACTTCTGACTTGCTCAGATAAAATTACTTAAGAATGTCTTCAATGGAGAAGAAATCTCAAATAATTATCGATTTGAATAAAATATTAAATGAGAATGATTTTACTAAAATAAAACAAATAGAAAATGAATTTAAATTGAATGGTTGATGTTTTGTCTATTTACCAAAAGAACTCATTCCAGATCCAAAGTTGCTCAAAGAAATGGCACTTTTTTCCAGTTGGATAGAGGAAAGGATCGGTATTCATCGATTTCAGGAATATATGGTAATTCGAAAGTGAGCCATAAAGAAGGAATTAAACTATTGACAGGACGTTATTATAGTCAATTTGCACATAAAAGATTAATACCACATGGATTTGTGGACGTGGGTGTGGGTGGCGATGTGAATATGAGAGTAACTCTGTTTGGGTGATTGCTCAACGAAGAGGTACTCACAACCACACCCTCAAGATGGTTTTTCTTGAATTCTTGCCTGATTCTTATCTTCTTAGTTTTCTTGTCTTTGTTGATTTTCTTCTCTGTTTCTGATCTCTTCGGTTTCTTGCTTGATTCTGATCATATCAAAAAAAGCCTTTTTTAGGTTATTACTACCTTTTTCATATCGTTTTATTATAAGCTTTTCACACCATGTACAAAAAAATATAAAAGAACAAAAACATACTTTAAATTTCACATATTTATGAAACATTTTCAATTTTTAACACAAATAAAAACAGTATAAAAAAAACTTATTTTATTTATTTTTTTAAATTTTACCTGTATCAAGGGGATTATCAAACAATAATTTTTTAAATGAATCGATATTTTCTTCGTCCATTATATGTGATACTTTTATCGGTAGTGAAAAAATCCAGAAAAAAAATAAAATATAGAGATATATATGAATTGGAAAAATATCAAAATTTATTCAATAAAGGTTATTTTCAGGGAACAATGAGAAAATGGATATCATATATTCCATTGTTTTCTTGATATGAAATAAACTTTTACTATACATCCAGTTAAAACAGTAACTTACTAGATGCCGTTTGAATTAAATAAACGCGTTAGAAAAAGAAAATAATTTAAGTGAATTTGTACTCTACTTATCGAGTGAATAATGATTATGAATAAATAACATTCAGATAACGGTTTTATATATGTGATAAACAAAGGTCACATTACGTGCCGTTCATCTTGGAAAGCTGACAAGAATCCTGTCTGAATAGTAAAAAACTTAAAATATCTTGTGTTTCTTTCCAGTTTCTTTCTATCTTGAACTTCAGTCAAGATTCTTTTTAAAGGGAAGAAAAAGATTCTTGTCTGAATATTAAATATATCTTGAATATCTTATAATTCTTGCCTGATTCTTTTATTTCTGATTGTTCAGACAAGATTCTTGTCAACCGAAAATTCTTGCATGATTCTTTTCACTTTCCTCTCGAAAAAAATCTTACCTGAACACAAGAATCTTGTCTGAAAAGCAAGAAAAACAAGAATCTGGAAAGAAGAAGACAAGAACGTCGACTAGTGTTAGGCCTTTATAGAGTAGTTTTCTAGAAAAACGGTTTTCAAAAACCACATACTTTTCACTTAATGTTGTTTTCTATTCGCTCAGATTATAGAGCATATCGAACTGCCTATGAAATGGCAGTTTTTCCTGTTTTGCAAAAATGAACTCCAAGGAAAAAAATATAAACTTTTGTATTTTGGTATTAAGTTGTTATGGTATGCACCTGTTTTATAGATTTACTTGACTATATTTTCTCCAATGTTCTATTTGAGACAGAAAATACGCTCTATAATCTGAGCGACAAAAAAACAATATTTAGTAAAAAGTATGTGATTTTTGAGAACCCGTTTTCTAGGAAACCACTCTATAAAGGCCTAAAAGCATTTCTCATGATCACATTTGGAATCAGCATGATTGATAACCTATATTCCAATTTTTTTTTATCAAAAAAGCGATTGGACAGTTGGTGAAGTTCCCTCATAAGTGATATTAAAATCCCATTAAAAATTGAATCTGTTGTGTTGAATATTTATTTCAAATAGAAAGCAAATAAAATATAAGATTTATAAATAAATTGTAGAAAAGCAATGCATACACAAAAGCGATGAGAAAAATTTAGTTGAATAGAATTTTTGCAAAGCACATCGATAGATATTTCAAAAATGACTCTTAGTTTATTTGTAAAAGTAAAATCTCAAAATTGACCAAATACTTCACTGTTATTGTTGGATAATAAATTGAACAGGTCCAGGACCATATGATATGATTGAAAATGCGCCTACCGTATCTGAGGCATATGTTGTAGCAACTAAAATATACTTTGCTATAGTATCAATAAATAAATTAAAAATGAATTGGTTATTGTTATCAATATGATCATCATCATCATATGATATCATATTTTGCGATAGAACAGAAGCATTAAAGCTATTACTGTAAATATATCCATATGTATCCATATTACTTTGAGAGATAATTGTATAATTTCCACTTGTATTAAAATTGATAAGAATAACTGAATAATAATAATACTCTGAACTGGAACAATTACCTGTTCGACAATATGTAGCACTACTACTGTTCAAAGCTGATGAATATTGTGAAAACACAAATGATGAACTACCTATTGAAAGAAAATGAAAATATTATTTTTAATAGAAAGAAAATTCGAAATTTTTCTTCTTGGTTTTTATGCCTATTATTATGTTGAGTAGAATATATTTAAAATAAGGAGAAAATAGAAATATTATAACTTCAATATTTCTATACACAATCAAATGATATAAATTTTTATTTTTCATAGTTATTAAAATGTTACTGATAAACATTAAATTCACTACTAATGCATTTCAAGAAAAGCGATGGATTTGGAAAAGAACGTCTCATAAATATTAATGATAACAATTTCAATTAGATTATTCTAAAAGAAAGTATCTAATAGCATATATATCTATGTAGAAATACTAATTGTTTTATTTAGATGAAGAAATTACTTAAAATAAATTGAATTCTTACTTGACACATTTATTGAAGAAAGGCTGACTGGTGCCACACCTGTTGCTATAATAGTGAAAGGTCCTATTGTATTTGAATGATATGTTGTTGCAACTAGAATATATCTTGTTAATGTTTGAAGATATGCTGTAAACTTGAATTGATGGGCACCACCATCATCATCATCATATGTGATTTGATTTGCAGTTGAATTGTTGGGATCGAAAGTATTATAATATAAAAAACCATATGTATCCATGGAACTATTGGATACGAAAGTATAGTTTCCACTCATAGATACATTCAGCTGAATAGCTTGAAAATAAGTGTTTGGTATTGAACAAGGGCCTTCACGACAATATATTTGACTGTTGATAGTCAAAGCTGATGAGTATTGAGTTTTTATCATTGATGAAGTAACTATAAAAAGAATAAAAGAAAAATAATCAAAACTTGGAAGGGTGTAAGTGTGGAGTTTCTTTTCTTTACTCTCATATTAATGAGTATCAAAACCTGTTTTATTACAATCAAACACCATCAATATTGAATTATTTCAAAAAAAATATTTTATAACACATTTATTTTGTTTCTACTAAAATTTAATTGATATCAATCTAGAGAATATCGAAAAGATTTATAATTATTTCATTGAGTTAGAAAACTAGATTAAAATATATAAACTTCAAAATATTGCTTTTTGAAAAATCATACTACTATAATTTGACAAGTTTAATGGAAAAAAATATTTATTTCTCAGGAAATTAAATTTTATAAAAAAAATTCTTTTGAAGTTTAATATACCGAGATATTTTTGAATTGAAATTATGATTTTAGTTTATTATTCATTATTAATACTAACTATATTTTTCTTTTCATCTCTAACCATGATTTGAAAATTGTCGATTACTAAGCGAATCAAAATATTTGATAATGCTTAGACAATCATTTTTATATAAAAAATATCACTGTGGAAGAACTTTCATCATAGTCATTTATGAATAATGTGAATAACTATTGTTGAATATTGTATATATATGTTATGTTATATCATCACTCTTATTTTATATAAAATTTCAAAATAAATCAAATAACAAACCTATTGTAGTAGGAATGGCAGCTGTAGAATTTTGTGGTATAACAGTACTGATTGTTGTAGTATTTCCAACACCAACAGTTGTTTTTGTAGTTGCATTTGTCATAACCGTGGTTGCTGAAGTATTTGCGACATTAGTAGTTGTTTTTGTAGTAGCATTTGCCATACCCGCAGTTGTTATGATCGAATTATTTACCATACTAGTACCCGTATTATTTTCTGCATTTTCCAAAACGCCTGCAATACAAAAAAAAGAATTTTCTTAATAGGCAATAATCTTATATCGTGAATTATCAATAGTTGATGAGTTTTATAAGTACCATGTATTTCTGACAAAATGTTTGAAGTATTCTGTTGTGTTGCTGTTTGATCTAATAAATAAATGAATTTTAATAATTACTAAAAATCAATCAGTAAAAAGAGTTTTACTTGATAATGTCATTTGCTTGCTGTGTTGGGTAAAATGAAGAACCAATGGAACAGTAATAACAGCAGCTATGATCATGATCAGTGTTAATATCAGAACAATCTTTACAGTACGATTCATTCTAATGAAATAATATTTATTTCAGAAACGTTCGGAGTTTTTTCTTATTGAACGAGAAACAAAAATCTATAAATATTCAATCAAATTGTATGTATTTGATAAAAGACTTCAGTTAAAGACTATAGGTTTATAATATTCTATGAAATAAAAACAAACTGCATTGTATTGAGTTAAACAGTAAACTGAAATTTATCAAAAAAGAAAAGAGTTTTGTAATAGAAAAAAGTTATTAAATATGCTCAATGACTTTCATATTAACTAGAATAGGATGTATTTACATGTTATTATAAAGAAAAGGAAATTCTTCAAATAAAACTAATTGAAAAAGAAATAATTAAAATATTGAAGTTTATTATTCTCATTTAATGACGTAAATTTCATCTAAAATAAATATTTATTTACTAAATAAACTAGATAAAATCTCAGGCTTGTTGAAAATCTAACATAATAAATTTGACTATTTTGTTACCTTGAAGAAGTCTTTGAGATGTTTTCTTTAACAAAGATAATGTTTGATCTCTCTAATTCATGATTTAACATTCACTACTGTTTTATCTATAAAATATTTACTAAAATGAACTAGCGTTTAGTTTTGTTTTAATTATCTTGAAACCTTTTATTCAGAATGTTAAAATACATCTTATACATATTATATCCATATATTTTTATATCACTTCAAAATAATTGTCAAACAAAATAATAAATCTCGATTTGTATAATAGAAGAAAATAAATAAATGATGATAAGTTGTTTATGAAAATATTTTATAGAATTGTATTATAATTAGAGCAGAATTTTTAATTGTTTTTCCATTATATAAAATAACATCATTGAAACCTCTTAAAAAATAAATAGAAATGTTTTTCTTTCATTATTTGTTGTTTCTAAGAAATAAGATAAATACACAAATTGAATTTTAAACAAAAATTCTCATATCTCAATGAAAGAATCTGTAGAATATCGCCTGTTTAAAAATGTACAAGGATTGTTTTTTCCCTGATATTATTATATAATGGAATAGAGTTCGTTGGGCTCTGCAAAGTTCTTCTATCTTGAAATTTTATTCAACTTTTTTTCTTTGTATAAATTTTAGAAAAGATTATTTGAGAAATTTGAAGTTTATATCATATTTTTTAATATAAAAAAAATATTGTTATTTTTATACAATTGTCGACTTTAACAAAACACTTTAATAAAAGATAATTATTCTTGCTTGAATCATCATTTCACATATGATTTTTTATAATCAAGAAAAAAAGTTATTTTGCTATTGTTGATAATATTCATTTGTTTTCCGTAATAGTAGGTAAATCTTAGATTTTATATAATAATTCTTCATTTTTATATATAACAAGCGTTATAGTCAGGGGTGGCGCGAGTCAGCCAACATTAGGGGGTGTAACGAAATTTTTTGAATTTTTGGCGGGGTATAGCATTATCTTTGGTAAAAAACTCAAGAAGATTTGCCGATTTCCTTGAGCAAAAAATAAAAATTTCCGAAGATTGGGGGTGGGGGTGGGAGGGTGTCACACCCCCGACACCTCCCCGGTCGCGCCACCCCTAGTTATAGTCATTGTTAACATATAATGATACATTGAATAATTTATATAGTGTCGTACAAGACTCCTAAAAATGTTTTATCACTTTTATACTGAAACATTCTTCAGAGTGTGGGTGTGAATGAAATCGAATAACTACACGCACCCACGCTCAGATCCTCAACTTTTAAGAAGAAAATTAAAATGTCGAACATTTTAGAGCTTGAATAAATATTTTTATTTAGAAAAATTAATTCGTAAAACAATTTCGAAAAATAGTTTTATTTTTCGTCTTCCCAGACAATGCAACAGGGTGTCACCGGACTGTGATGATCGATAATGAGAGTTCGATCTTCACGAATACTAAAGCCAGCAAAATTTCCACGAATAATCCAACTACCGATAATTGCATAGTATCCATCATAATTTTTCAGCGGAAATAATTCTTGATAAATATTATCACGAGTCGAAAAATTACCGGTTGTTTCAGCAATCACAACATTACCCTCTGGCCCATACAACGTAACATTTTGACCGCAATGGCCGACAATTGGCTTTTTTACGAAAGACGTATGTTTAAGCTCTTCTGTTAGACTCCATTCGGTACGTAGTAAATTTGGATGATTTGGATACATGGACCATAGAATAGGTAAAAGTGCTTTATTACTAGTAATCACTTTCCACAAAGGTTCAATGACTTTGATTCGATCATGTAATAGAATATCACTTATTCGTGGATGTTCACCATTGACCGGTTTCCATTTTAAAATATGTTCAGTTGAATTAGAATTAACTAAGTCACGTTCTTTGGTTACATCGATATGATCTTGAAAGACAGTCTCCCACATCCATAGTTTCCATATAAATTTAATTATTTCACCATCGTTGTCTACAATCATGTCATCTTTCCAATACAATTTATCAGTACCAACATATAATTTAGATTCGATACCTGCTTCTTTCATTACATTTTGCATGTAGAGAGCAGTGAATATCTCATCTCTTTTATCATCGATTAATATATGTATTTTTGTTGTAATTTTCATAGCCTTCCAATTATTAACTAGAACATGATGTAATTGTAGACCTGACATAAACTTAGAAGGTAAATCAATCGCTTCTGCCCATTTTTTATGTATAATAGCACATTCAACAAGTGCCGATGCGCTATCAGCATTGTATTCAAATACTTTCAACTGTTTCTCATCAAAAGCGAGATCAATTCGACCACTCATTATAAGATTTTGTTCATTAATCCACGAATGACGAATTCGATTCCAAAATACATTGGGTATTTTAAAACGTGCTAAGAGCTCATCATCATGAACAACACGATTAGTAGCTTCTATAAACATTCGATGCACTTCATTTGATACTGTACCAATATTAAATAATAAATCTGCATTAATTTTGTAGTAAGGCAATTGCTCAGAATAATTATCCATTCGTTTCATAATTTCATCATATTGTTCGAGGAAAAATTTTTCAACTGGAACATCTTTATTCAACCAGATTTTTCTTGTATCATCATATTTTTGTGAAATAACACAACGTGTTATTTTACCCGCAGGTTGAGGTTGTTGGTATTGTAAAAGAATAGCATTTGTGTCTAATTCATCTAATGGTTTTAACTGATCATTATCTTCAGTTTCCATCCATCCAGAAATCTGTTCTTTGTCTTCAACATAGTAAAGACCATCTTTATATATTACTGGAATTTGACGAGCATAGTCATCAATCCAATAATGAAATTTATTATTTTGTTCAGCAATACGAATATAATCTGGTCCAACATCACAAATAACAGCAATATGACCGACTGGTTGTTCTTTACTACGAGGATAAATGAGAAATGAACCACATTGTGGTAATAATGGAGAACCGTTTGGATGCGCCGTTAAAGGAAAATGCTGTCCATCAGTAACACGTTCGACACTGGTTAGTTCAGTCCAAATGTTCGCAGCACAATCAATAGGTTTAAATACACAACCTTTTCTCAACAGTAACCATCGACGAGCATATTCGACACATTGCCATTTTATTCCCATAAATATACCGTGCATATAATGCCGTTCCATGCTGAAAATTTCATCATGCGTATTTGAATATGCTGGTACATTTGTCGAAGCTGTACCGAGAATATCATTGAAAGGCGAAAGTACGACTTGATTAAGTGTCATTATGTGTTCTAGAAAAATAAACAAACATTTTCTAATGATAGATATCCAGATTGAGAATGTGGATGATGGGTGGGTGCGAGTGGATGGGTGTGAATAGATGTAGTTGTTCGATCTCATTCGCACCCACACCCACACCCGCCTTTTGTTTTGTTTTCGACTTACCCGTATGGATATGAAGTGTAACTTAATGGTGAATGTATATTTGTCGATAAATTACAGTTGTTACCTAAATAAAAAGTAAATTCATCTCATCTATTTATATAGACACTGATTTTTTT